CACTCACTCTTCTCCCCTCTTTCCTGACCTGCCAGGCTTTTGTTCGGATAAGGGTCTGGTAATGTATGTATGATTGTTTTTCCGCGTGGGGTTCCCCCTTAAAATCCATACCAGACCTGAACGGCCTGGCCTTCATTTTTTGGGGGAACCCATGTTATAAGCTGTCAGACTGCTGAAATACAGTAATACCTTGGTTTACGAGCATAATTCGTTCCGGAAGCATGCTTGTAATCCAAAGCGCTTGTATATCAAAGCGAATTTCCCCATAGGAAATAATGGAAATTCAGATGATTCGCTCCACAACCCCAAAATATTCATATAAAAATGATTACAGTACTGTACTATAATATAATACAAAATATAAAGACAAATAAACCAATTACAGGTACCTTCGTGGCTGGTGTGAGGGAGACAAGAGAGAGGAGGATCATTGTGTAGGACGACTTTCACTATCACTAACGCAATCACTGTTATCTCTTGACTCAATGGAATTTTTTTCATTTCGTGAAACCTTAACAAGGAATCTATTCAATGTGACCTTGCATTGTCGTTAAACAGACTCATCGCTCGCACTGCTACAGCCTTATTCGGGGGGTGCTTTTCTACAAAATTTTGCTCTTATTGCAAAATGTCTTGCAAAACACTCTCAAACCAAGTTACTTGTAAACCAAGGTATTACTGTGCACAACATTCGATCAGCACCATTTGCACAACTCCTAAAGGAACTTTTATGAGCACCAGCAAGTCACTTTGGCAATATTTGTATACAAGAGTAATGTTTGCCTAGCTGGAAAACATACTTTCAATTTGGCGGCATCTGACCTAAACGAATGTTCCAAAAACACCGTGAACATTTGATTTTGTAGTATTTGACCTTCAGCAGCGGTCAGAGTGAAGATCATGAGCACTATTCGCACAACTCCTATTGATTTATACAGAGTGTGAAATATAACCTGTAAATTCTGCTAAATGAATCAACGCCATCTGCAATGACAAAGAACGAATCAACGCCATCTGCAGTGACGTCACCACACTTGAACTCCATTTAGAATTAGAAGTCCATCTGCCGTAGTGACAGACAGGACTTGTAATCTCTCTCCGTTTACAGATCTTGTCAAAGACGCGGGTGGAGCAGAATTCAAATAATGACAGGAGCATGAACATGAGTAAGTCATGAAACAGTCTAAAAAGTAAACGTAGCCTTTAGAAAGGTATGTAAGTGTAGAATAAGATTTCAGAGCTCAGCATTTTATAATAACAATGCCAGACAAAATGAAATAGGCACACTTTCTGCTTCGTTGTATACTAAGTAGGGATGCACCGATATTTATCGGCCGCCGAAACATAATGCCCGAAAATGGTACTTTTGTCATAATGCTGAAAGTGCCATTTTCTGGCCGATACAGCGGTTCATCCGTTCGTTCTCTCCTCCCTGCTGTGCGATGCTCTGTGTCCCAGTGGGAGGAGAAAAAATGTGACAGGCGGCCGAGCACGGCAGGAGGAGAGCGCTGTGAGCGGCCAGCATCTCTCCTCCCACACAGCTCAGCCTCCTGTCACAAATTGGCATAGCGGTGTGTGGGCGGAGACAGGCTGCGCTGTCACAGGAGGCTGAGCTCCGCTCGCTCAGCCTCCTGTGACAGCGTATCAGGAAGGGAAGCGAGGTACAATCGCAGTGATTGCTGAGTGTTTGTACATACGTTTGTACAGAGTATGGTTATTATAGCCTCAATTAGGAATGAATGGGAGTGATCTACATAACTTCCTGTTCATTTTTTTTTTTTTACATAATAAGTTTTTATTGAGGAGCATTTTTTATTTTAAAAATTCGGTTTTGGCCTGACATTTTTTAAAAATTTTGGTTTTGGTAATGACATTTTCATTTCAGTACACCACTAATACTAAGTATATGAACTCTGTTTTATTGTGTATACTAATCCCATATTAAAATAAACATTACACTGTTGCACTTTCATGCATGCATTGCAGCATGCTGGTGTCCAACTTCCACATGAAAAATAGTGTCTGTTCACATCTCAGCTGTGCAGTGCAGAGCAATTTGAAAAATACAACATGTCTGGTTTTTCTGCGTTGTATTGCATTGGGAGGCTGGTAGAAGTCAGTGGCAATGCATTGAAATACATTTAACATACATTTTGATGTGTTGGCAATGGGTATTAACAACCCTTAGGACCCAGCCGTCCTCGATTTAGGTAGATGCGGGAATATGGGCAGCTCTACCAAGAGCGAGGACGGCTGGACGCTGTATGAGGTGATTTAATGCAGTTTGAAGTCCAGCCGTCCTTCCTTCCCCCATCTCTCCTAACTGAAACTCCGTACCTCAGTACGAGCTCTGCCTGGGAGAGGATTTGCAGAAGCCTGAACTTTGCAGCCCTGATCGAGTGATCACCATTGCAAAGCTTTCCAGGCTTGAATGCAAATATTAAAGAAATGCATATTTTGTTTTTTATACATTATTAATGATGTATTTCTTCAATTTTTGCAAAAGGTGAACTTATCCTTTAAGCCTCCATTTGCATCTAAGCAATCTGTCACGTTTCCCGAAATGTGACAACGCTCAACATTACGGTTCCTAATTTATATTCAATGGTGCTGCTGCATGTTGTACAAAAAAGTACATGCACTTTTTTGGGGGGGGGGGGGAGAAAATAGATTTTAATGGGAGCCCCTGAAAAAACGCAAACCCTAGTGGATTTGCGCCACGACTGGTCTCCTCTTCCTCCCAGCAACCTCAGGGTTGTGAACAAAATAGAAGATTCAGGATTTTCTCTGCTGGATGTGGATACGTACATGCGCTTGGTGAGGGTTAGTGATGTGCCACTACTTGGTGTGAACCCATGCATGATGGGATTTGGAGATTCACCACAGCTGGAGGGCCAGAGGTACGCTTACCCCTGCCCTAACACTTCCACCACCCCCTCAGGCAGTGAGATGCACCCGACGCCACCACCAGCTACACAACGCTAAACACCCATTGTACTCAATGGTACCTATTCACATCTGAGAGTTCCGTCACCTGTAGAAAAACGCCTGTTGCTGCAGAAACTATGAGCCTGGTTCACACATAGATGTTTTTGAGCAGTTGGAGAAGCGCTTTTAAATGCCCAACACAATAAATCCTATGATTTTCGACGGCCCTTGTTCACACCTGAGCAGCAAAATGGCAGCAGGAAAACGCAAAGCGCCCGAAAAGGTACATAAGCTTCTTTGGGCAGTTAAAAGAGCGTTTTTGCCCCACCGACTTCAATGGAAACGCTTGAAAACGTGCAGCAGAAGCATGTTGCACTTTTTAGTACACGTTTATGCGTGTTTGAACGCATGTTCATCCATCACCCGCAATGTTTCATAAGCTGCCAGTCAAAACACGCACCATCATGTACAAACACACAACAAAATGTGCAAAACACGCATAAATGCGCAAATACCTGCACGTTGAACATGTGTGTACAAACGCACAAAAAGCGCCGCTGCCTAGGTGTAAACCCGGCCTTAGGTACTTTTCTGCACTTTTGGCCCCATAGCCTTCAACGGGAAAGCCTTTATCTACCAGCCGCTTTCGAAAAACACCTCAGAATGCAGAAACCCATGTGAACGGAGGCTAAAAACATTCATGTTCATGTGTGAAAGGGGGCCGAATAGGCCCTTTATTGAATATTTTTAGCTGAACCATGGGCCACTCCTTGTTTGTTTTCAGGAGCATGATTGCTTGCATGTCCTACACATTCGCAGGCCAAACCCTGTCTTTCACCTTCGTCTAGATCAAATAAACACAAGTAGGTAAAAGAAGACACAGGGCTTGCATGTGTCAGCTAACCGCCGTGTAAAACAGTCTAGCTTTCACAGGCAAGCTTTTTTTTTTTCCGCTCCGTCTCTTTCTGCTTTTTTGCTGCAGCTGCAATGACTTTAAAAAAAAAAAAAAAAGAAAGCCGGAGCTAGGAGCCCCAGACGAATACATCGCTCAGATCTATAGAAGGGGAGACGATGGAAATGAAAAAACGAATCCACTTGGAGCTGAGGAACAGGACGCCGTCTGATGTAAGCTCGTGTTACTGTCTTCTTGTGATCGCACACATCCATGCTGCTGGGGATGGACTCGCATCTTCTGTTTACATCACTTTCTTTTTTTTATCATTTGTTGTAGCAGACGACCTGGCCGGCATTGAGACCACATGGGCTGCTCTTTATTTATTGATTTCGCTTTTCGTAGATTCCCCTCCCTCTGTGATCGCCGGTGCACACGTCATTCCATGTATGCACTTTTACAAGTCTGGGAAAGGTCACTTGGATTAAGTAGTGACGAAAGTAAACTTGAGCTTTGTTTTGTATTTACCGATGTGGTTGTTTATTTGTTTGGTTTAGGAAGGCGATCCGTATCACAGTGTGCGTTTTGTAGGAGGGCGCTGTGGGGAAAAAAAAATCCGAGTTTGAAGTTGCTCTCTTTCCAGTTGCCATGCTGGTAGCCATGTTTTTGTATTTTAGGCTTGTGCCTGACCGCCCTTCCAGCTTTTAAGAGCTTGCTTCCAGCCTTTGCTGGCTGCATGCTGATGGGGGGGGGGGTCATTTGTCTGTGTTGTTGGCGGTGGCATGCAGCATTTCAATGAGAAGAGTGGCATTCTTGTGCCAGGGGGATGGAAACTCTCCACCATTGTGAGGAGGCTCCTGGCTTTGTCAGCTGTTTGCTGGGGAGGTGTTGAGAACATGAGGAGAGACGTGGTAGAGCTGTGTGAGTACAGAGCCTGATTGTGCTAGCGGACGAGGGGGGACGTTTAGGAGCGTGGGGCTGATTTACCAAAGGCTAAGTGACTTTTTTTCCCCCTCGGCTTAGTAAATGAGAAGGTCTGCTGACTGCCACCATCCAATCGTGTGGCAGCAAAAATCCTGTTTTTATTTATTTTCCTTGCACGTGATTGGGTATCCTTTGCAAATTTAATTTGCACCACATTCGCTAAGCCTTGCAGCCTAGTTGCCCGTAGTCAATCAACCGCAGTGAATACATGCTCTATTCCTTTAGTAAATGACCCCCAGTGTGTGCTATATACCATTCAGGAGCCAGTCTTTTCAATCCACGAGCCAGCAGGATTATTTTTAGGTGCCAACTAGAGAAAACCTTAAAAGTTGGGTGCCAGCTGTAATTTTTAAGGAGCATTGGCGACCAGGCTACTGGGATTTGTCAAGCCGGTGTATATATTATGGAGCAGAAAGGAACTGGAGCAGTTGCCCATGGCAACCAATCAGCTCCTCTCTTCAGTTTGTTCAGTAAAGATTTGAAAATAACATAGAAGCTGGTTACTATGGATAACTGCTCCAGATTCCGTCTGCTTCAGTTTTGATAAAACTGCCCCCTGTGTGTTCACATCAGTCACCTTGTAGTGTTTTGTATGTACAGCCGTCCAAAAGCGTATCACACATGCCTTCAGTATCAGTTCCTGCCTCCATGTTAGACTAAGCTTTGAAGAACAGGGGCTCGCCAATCCTGTACATTGCTAATAATCAGGACCTCGTGCCCTCTGCAAGCTGGGGGGGCCTTTCGTACCAAATGAGGCTGCTGGTCACTGAGCATGGAGTAGCAAACTGTAGCTATCGGGGAAAAGGAGCTTTCAATTGGGTAGTATTTGAATGGGGCCCCCCAAAGCCTTCTTACAGGGGCCCTTTGACTATAATAACAATAAATCGGTTACCCCTCCCTTTTAGAATGTAAGTTCTCATAAGGAGGGGCCTTGTAACCCTCTTTTTTTTTTTTTTTTTTTTTGGCCCTTTTTTTTTTAATGGCTTCCTTTTTTTTTTTTTTTTTTTTGTTGCCCTTTATTTTGTAAAGCGCTACACAAATCGTTGGCGTTTTATATAATTCCTGTAAAATAATAAGCTGTAAAGTCTCATGCCGCTGCTGTGTAAAATGTAATGTGGTCTTTGTGTAATCCCAGTGAATAGGCTGTGAGAGTGTCCGCCATGTGTCACCTCAGGGGTTGCCTGTGGTGTTTGGCCCCTGTATACATGGATGTCCTTCTCTCCTGCACTACATGGCCAGGCACTGGCCTCAGTTTACCTCAGCTGCATGGTTCCCGGTGTGTAAATACAAGCACTGGGATGTTTGAACGTGCTGTGTTTCTAACCTGTAATTGTTTCTGTAAACTGTGTACAAAGGTCTACAACCTGTACAGTAAATGTATAAAGAGCATGCATGTGGTAGAAAATGTATACAAGAGCGCCCAGGAGACATGTTCCTCTTCTTCCTCCTCCTCCTCCTCCTCCTCTTCTTCCTCCTCTGCTTGTCGGGCGGGAAAGTGCTAAGCAGCAGAGGGGGGGGGAGAATGTAGTGTCCTTATCACTCACACACAACATATATATACAGTATATACACAACAATAAATTAACCGTATTAATGGGGCTAATATATCCCCGCCCAGGCACACACAGCTCCTGTTGTATTTGCTGTCCCTCAGCCTGGCAATGTCAGAGGAGGAGACATCGCCATGTTGTCCTGTCGTCTTCCTCCTCGTTCACTCTCCATGTTGAATATGTCGAGCTGTGGGTACTCTCCTCCTCTGACAGCTGCAGTGCCCGCCTTCCACCTCCATCTTACCCTGTCGTGTGTCTATGTACCAGGGGTGGCTGGGCATTTGGTTCTCTCTCAGAAGCCCTGTGGACGCCTTCCCCTCCTCCTCACTATCTTTTGTCTACAAACTGCCTTCTGTTAAAGGTGTCACCTCACTGCCAGTGTGCCTCAGCTTCCAGCTCCAGCTGCATGTCTTTAAATAGAGTTCCATGCCTGGAGTTTAGAAGAAATGTCCCCACCTCCCTCAGGAGACTACATATACACATTAATGACCGATTTGTTTCTTCATATACAGGAGACATTTTCATCTCCTCGAGAAAAAGCACCACTACATCATAAAGACCTGATTTGTGTGTACCTGAAGTTATTTTTTTGTCATTTATGTGACTATTTCAGAACAAATGTCCTAAATTTTGACTAAAAAAGGTAGTATATGTATGTAAAAAAATGCAACTCCTATTTGCAAGACTTCTTATACATGTTTAATTGCTGAAATGTAGTGTTTCTTGTCAGCATTCATAGTGTTATATTTAAAGTGGCACCAAGTCAATGTTGACTTGTGGTTACCATGTGGATGGTGTTCTGTCCTCCTATATGGACCGTCAGTCTGCACCATTGTGTGTACTTTGTGACCATAATCGGCCCTCTTAATGCTGGGGTGACGAACTAGGAGCGCAGAAAGAGAGCACACAGAGGCCGATCACACGGGACCTGACATGCGGGGTGTTTATTGGGGGATCTCTGTGTACAAAGCAGGGTGTTGGGGCCAGGGTTAAGTCCTGGATGGTGCAGGACAATAAGGGGGTACAGCCAGAGCATGGGTAGGCAATGGGCCACAGGAAAGAGTAAATCCAGAGCCACAGTGGTGGTAATCCAGTAATCAGAGGTGCAGCAAGAGTTAATCCAGGAGGGGACATGTCTCAGCAGACCTCAGCAGCACACAACTGGGAGGAACAAGAAGTTTCAGTGGACCTCCGCAGCATACGACGGAGAGAGCACTACAAATTCCGGCAGCACTCACAGCAGTAGAACAGTCAGGGTTAAGTTTCAGCCTCTGCGTAGCTGTTTCACAGACAGAGCCTGTCCTCAGAGCAGCCTCTGGTCTGCCAGTCAGAGTGAAGAACTCCAGCTTAACCCTCCTACAAACCTTAAAATGGTCTTTGGAGGGAGGGGGGAGTATACAGGCTGCTGCTGAGCCACTAGGCTCACCTCCCCAATGTGGCTTTTGTTCTGGGGAGGCTGTTTTGGCGGTAATCACATGTGTACTTGGCCATGGGCAGATTATCTTGCTCCCCAGGTGTCTGAACCCCCTGCTCCCTGTCAGGAGTATGGTGGGGTCCTGTGATATACAGCTTGCTGGAAGCAAAAGCCAGCAGGACGGAGGGAGAGTGGCCAGGAGGAAGAGCACTGTGGGTTTGCTCGGTGTACAGCCTGAAAGATCTGCAGCTGACCCCTTTTGATCTGCTGGCTCTGTGCCAGTGATCAAAGCCCAGACTGCTGTAGCTGGGGGAGGTTAGGAGCTGGGGAGGATTGGGGAGCAAAGAAAGGGGCTCAGGACTACAAGGAGCCTGTTCACAACCCTTCCCCTGCTTATGAACGTGTACCAGCCTGGGGATCCTTACTGGTCATCTGGCCTGGTACATGGAACGGGCACTCATAGCTACTACTGGTCCACCGGATGTGATAACCTATCAGCGTTTTGATGCTGCTAGAGCTGCAGCTAACGATTATTTTCAAAATCGATTAGTTGGCCGATTATTAAGTTCGATTAATCGGTTAATCGGATAAACAATAAAATACATTTTAAAACATGGCTCCAGTGATGGGACTACTAGTTTGTATTGAGATTGCAGTCCATCACAGGAGCAAGCTTCGAGTGGTGGAAGTAAAAAAGAAAACAAATAGTGTGGTGTGCAATATAGTGAAATGGAAAGTGTAAAATTATACAGCAATGAATGCAGAATGGCACCGGCTATAGAGGACTACAAATCCCAGCTATAATACATTATACAGCACAATGCAGAATACCACCAGCTATAGAGGAATACAACAAATCCCAGCAACAGTACATTATAGCTGGTGGTATTCTGCATTGCGCTGTATAATGTACTGTTGCTGGGTTTTGTAGTCCTCTATAGCTGGTGGTATCCGGCATTGCACCACTGTATAATGTACTATTGCTGGGATTTGTTGTACTCCTCTATAGCTGGTGGAATTCCGCATGACGCTGTATAATGTATTATTGCTGGGATTTTTAGTCCTCTACACAGCGCAGTGCAGAATATCACCAACTATAGAAGAGTACAACAAATCCCAGCAATACATTATACATACAGTGTATGATGTATTGCTGGGATTTGTATTCCTATGTATAATATACAGCACAATGTACCATCAGCTATAGAGGACTACAAATCCCAGCAATACATTATAGAGCACCATGTGTGGGAAAGTGCAGGCTTACCTGAGCAGTCTTCCAGCA